TGATGATGCACCTTTGAGTAGCAGGGAAGCTTCAGATCCTGGGAAAGACGGAAATCAAATGGCCGCGGTGATTTTTCAACTTTCTTTATATCACAGTGGTGGTGGAGATAAAAGCCGAACGAGCAAACGAGACAACGATGCAATTTCGTAGTAAAATTTCGTTGTTTATTTTAAAGGTAACTGAAAATGTTCAAAATTGTTTTGAATATAAATATATTTATAGGTTCCACATAAAATTGTGATTAACTTGATTACTAAGGATTTTTTCCCACTATTTTCTTTCTTTTTTATATGATTTTTTTAGTACTAACGTCTACTGGATCGAATTTATAATCTTTTAATTTCAGATATATAACAATGATCATTCATTTTATTTTGTTTAGTAGATTAAATTTAGGATGAGAGACTAAAAGTGTAATTGATTTCTTCTTTATTGGTTGCATTCTTTCGCGAGCATAATTTCTTGAATATTATGTTTTTCTAGAGTAATATGATATTATAACTTTTTATGAGTTTATATTAGAAGTCAATGTTAATATAAAACCAGTCAGCAAGCAAATATTAAGGTACCTAGTTCTTTCCTCGAAGGAGGGATCAATCTCATCTTTATAATTCTTTCTTGTATTAAAAAGAGAAAAAAACAACAACAAAAAGAGTACACAACAGATCATTTAACATATGATATTAATTAATTGAGGAACTAAATTATTATTCATGAGGTTCATCTTAAAATCAAATGACGATAAAAAGAAGTAATAATTCATATATGTATTATAAATCATTGTTGGGTTCATTCTCCTCTCCGATTGAATCCACGTATCTAAATCCCGTGTTAGGCGGCGTTATTGTTAAAAACTCGCGGGAAGGGAGGAAGAGTGATGCTTCAGCGAATCCATGGGAAACCCAAGCAGGAAATTGAAGGTGTAAATTAAGATCAATTCTGTATGTTCATCTCTCTCTATTTCTTTTTATCTCTTTTCATTCATTGTACTGTGTCCCCCCTCCGCCCCTTCCCCTCGATGCAACCAATAGGAAGAAAAGTAACTGAGCTTTGAAGTTTGATGGTGATGAATTGAAATGGAAGATTTTGTTGTTTTTGGTTTAATTATGGTTTTCTAGGTTAAGCTTTAATGGCACGCATGAAACGTGGATTTTGCTGCATAAAAACTCTTTGGGCGAATGATTTGTATGCATTTGATTCTAACGTGTTAAGGAATCTCGTGTGAACTTTTTCTTATCTTGGTCTGAATCTAATTGTCCATCTCTTCTTATCTTGATCTCCGAAGTGAACTTCTTCCGCCAAGTTCGGAATCTTCAATTGGTGGACAAAAAGGAGAACGGTTGGAATTTTTGGAATTCAATGCCCTTAATCTCATTTTTTTAATGTGTTAATTTCAAGTCGTCTGTTGATTGATTTCAGTTGAAACCGTTCCACTTGGTGTTGAAACTGTTCGTTGATGTTCCAGTGAAGCCTCTGTTACAATAATCATAGCCGAGGAAAATGAGCTTGCAACCCTAGAGCAGAGATGGAAGTCCAAACTTCAAAGGTTCTATGTGCAGATGCGGATTTGATATTCCTTGTAGGTACTATATATTATAATTTTGCGAACATCATCATCTTTCTTGAAATATGAAGTCTGCCATGGAATGTTAAAATTGATGAAATATGAAATAACATCCAATTTGAATATACAATTGCTGAAGATCTCAACTCAAAAACAATATACAATTGTAAAAGGGAATTTGTTTCATGGTTTTGAAAAGTCTAGATTCATGTATCACATATTTGGATTGTGCATAGGAATGAGTTTTAGAAATTTGGACTTGTACAGCGGTGTTTATTTTGTGTGGTTGTTTGTGATTTGTTAAAAGTCAGTTTATAGTTTGAGAAATAAGCTTTATATTAATGTTACAACTCATGAGATTAGCAAGCAAACTCATGTTCCAAACCTAGGCTTGACCACAAAATCCAAATTTCCCAATACTCTTATCCAGATTCCCTCTAAGAAAGTTGCCTGCTGTCCCAGCTTTTCCTTGGGAAATTGCCTGATCAATTATGCAATGTTCGGACCCTATTCCATTATATGAATCAATAGTCAAGTAAACACTCGTCTTATATTTCCATCTTCATACTTCTCATTCAAAGAACCCAACAGAGATATTTCTTTCTTAGAGACACAATTCACCATTTTTCGTCTTAAATAACAGGCTGCGGACCATGTCTGGTGGGAAGTCGGAGCCCCAGTCTCCCACTAAACCCCATTCATCTCTACCGGTGCCACTTCCATCGAGCACTGATACATATCTGTTAATGGCGACTTGAGAGGGTTTTGAAAAGCTTGAACTGGAGACTGTAGGAACCTCTAACTGATCAGTCGATTCAAAATCAGCAAATTCTGGGATTGGTATATGATTAATGATTTCAGTGAACTCTGTTAAAGTACTAAGAGATAGGGAAGGCAATGTGAAGCCAGTGACATGGTTTTCAGTTTCTGGGGCATGTGGCAGTGAGGATTTTGTGTCAAGGTGGCTCACAGTACTCTCTGTTTGGAGCTTGGTTTTGCCCGCAAGGAACAGCTTCTTTTTCAATCTAGTATTCCAATGGTTCTTCACATCATTGTCCGTTCTACCAGGGAGTTGAGAGGCTATGGCAGACCATCTGACCAAAACACAGCAATTAACAAATTATTTTCTGAAAACTTAAGCTAAATAATAATATTGTCACTCAATTAAATCTTATAGAAACTAAGAAATCTAGGTCGAAATTTCTATATTATAAGCTCTGTAAAGTTCAAATCTTTAATCTTTGTTTCAGAAGAACATCAAGAATTTCAGTCTTTAAAAAGCAAAGTATACATTATAAGATTAATCCTGGATTGAAAAATTATCAGACTTGCCTGCTTCCATATTGATTATAGAGGTTGAAGATGACATTGTCTTCCTCTTCGGTAAAGTCTCCATGTTTGATGTTGGGTCTGAGATAGTTTAGCCACCGTAACCTGCAACTCTTGCCGCATCTCTTTAGCCCTGCAATTTGTTTTATACATTACACTGGGAGAGATATGATCAAACAAAATTGGTTGTAGTTCTTCTGGGAAAATGGGAATGCAAGTTGAAAAACAAGAAGACTGGAAGTGGAAAGAGAGAAACCAGCTTTTCTGGGCAGAGCAATCCAGCTACCAGCAGTGCCATGAGTTTCCACATAGCTTCTGAGAGTGGCATCCTCATCAGGAGACCAAGGCCCCTTCTTGACATTGGCTTTGTCACAGCATGGAGCTCTTCCCATGGCCGCTTAATTCTGCACTCTAACTCTCCCTCTAGGAATAAGTGGGAGAGAGGGTCGTTGTAAATGCTTCTAGTACTAGCTCAATTGCAAATCCTTCTAGTTTTTGTTTATGATTTTTCAGTGAGAGCCATATAGAATCTAGCTTGACTTTGTACCATCTCTCCACATCGGTTCCCCTTTCTTCCAAGCTTATTTCCTTGTTCGTTAATTAATATAGAGGCACCTCATTTTCAGATTTTCTTTTTTCTTTTTAAATAATTCTATGTTTAACAGGGTCGCAAAAGTTACAATGTGCTTATTTATATTGTTAATAGCCTAAGAGCAACTCTAAAAAATTCATTATTCCAACAAGTTTTCTGAACTGAAACAGTTCTTGATCTAAGAACTATAGACAGTCTTCTAACATCATTCTCAAAACCACGATTGGAATCTAAACTCGACTAATTGGATATTAAATTCATAGGTTACTTCAACACGACCTTCATAAAATAATTGCTGTCTTTTGTTTCTCTCTCTCTACTTTTTGTCAGATGCAGAAGGAAGAACCAAGGGGGGAAGTTCCAAGTTTTCTCACAAGTTACAATTCCAGTATATGAATGTGAAAGTACCAGATGGGTCCACTCTATGATGATATTCCCTCACGAAATGTCTCCCAGGTTCAGTGTTTCTTTCTCAAATCCAACTGGTGATTTAATTATGTGCTGATGCGATGATGATCTGATCTCCTGTGGCACAGAATATTTGCTAATTCATCTGCACTACTTTATTAGGAAATGATAACAATGCCACACTCAATTGTTTTCTGAACATCTCACATGGTATGCTTTTGCATATTGGTCTTAGCACTTCCCATAATGGAAGGCTATTGAAGAATCTTTGCTTATTTTCTATAATATTTGGCTAAAATTGGAAGGATTTTCTCCCCTCAAATAAAGTTAGGTTGTGAAGAGGGCTAGACTAGAGGTCTTTAATGACAATGCTAGGGTACAGAAATTAATGAGAACACCTTTTTCGTTTTGTTTTTGTTTTTGTTTTCTGCAGGGTGGGAATTTAAACATCCAACTTTTGAATCATAATTGATTATATATCATTAGCGAGCCTTATCCATTGAGGTTCTAGTCTAGTATGTGTATTAGACATCTGTAAATCAGTATTACATATAGGTGATTGGAATTCTTTTTAGCATGACCTACCAAGTCTACCCACATTTTAAAATGAAATCTTTACAATTTAGGATTCATTTTTTCTTTGTCTTGTTTTGTGTGGTATATATATCTGTTGTCATTAATATTTTTAACTCTGAATTTTGATTATAGTGAAATCGTTTTGTTTAGCTTTTTATTTTTTCTTTTCTGTGAGGTGTTTTTTTCCGCATGAAATCAACTTGTGTTTTTTTCCCTTCAGTTAATTTTTATGGGATATCTTTAGCATTTTAGGTGGATTTTTTTATTTTAAAAAAAGGGAAAATAGGTAATTTTACATACTATTTAGTAACATTTTAGCATAAACACATTTCATTAAGACATGTAGGAGTACATTTTCCCTAAAGCTGTATTTGGCTGTAACGCAAGGATATAGCTCCATCATACAACAAAAACAATGATTTAAACTTGAGATAGGAAATCGAACCTTCCACCACTAGAGGAGTAAAATACTTTAACTGTCGAGTTATGTTCATGTTGACTTTAACTAGTAAATTATACTTATGTGTCTTTATTTGATTGAGAAATAGCACGTAGAGCCAGCTCAGCAAAATTAGAAGTTTACTAAATAGTTTTACAAATATGCAATTCTCCTAATTATTTTTTTAAAGTCTACCGAGAAAAATAGTAAAACAGTCCCACTCATTCCCCACCTACGACATCTTAATCTAAATTCTTCGTAAACATCTTAATCCAAATGACCATTGATGTTTACGTATAAATCCAAGGATAATTAATATTATTTATATTACCCATCAAGAAGATATAATTTTGTATTGACATATACTCAGAATGAATATTATATTCCTCAATTATTTAAAATCAACAAATAGTAACTATATAGAAAAATGTCAGCAACAATTTCAACCTAACTTTACTAGAAGAGGTCCATGAAGAAAAATCAGTTTTGGACTTTCAGGAGCAACTCAAATTTAGCGTGCAAATAGACATCACGTGGAATATTATTAATATTTTTCATATAAAATCTACTAATTGGAATGAAGAGGTTTACTTTTACTTGAAAAACTTTAATGTCAGGTCTAATTATGTTCTAGTATCTATACGTTGGTCATAGTTTTATTTATTAAGATAAATAAGACATTTATCGGTAATTGATAAATGAATAAAAAAATTTAACAAAGTCATGTTAGAGAGCTTCTAAGAGTCTGTTTGATAATGTCTTTATTTTTTATTTCTTGTTTTTCATTTTTAGTTTAAGATTCTATTTCTTATTTCTTGTTTCCTACATTTTTAGTTTTTGAGACTACGGTAACTATTTCGATTTCCCTTTTCTCATTTGAAAAAAAAAATGTTTTTAAAATTGAAATTTTATAAATAACAGCCAAGTTTCTTATTTCTTGTTTTCATTTCCACTTTTCAAAATTTTCCAAAACCATTGGTAAAACATTATTTTTGACCTATAAATTGTATAATAAATATTAAAAAAAAAATAAAAAAATAAATCTAACATTAAAAAAAATTGAATATTTAATTTGAAAATTTAATTGTCATATACAACTTTTACTTTTTTAGAAAAAAATAGTTATCGAACATAATTTTTTAGTTACTAAATATATTTATATTTTTCTTAATCGAAAAATAAGAAACAAGAAACAAAAGTATTATGAAATGAACTCTAATATCTAATCCATCCTTAAATAATTTGTGATGTTATGATTAAAGGATAAAGTTARTAACAACATTTTAAAAATTAATATGAACTTAGSGTGGTGGCATCCCGAGCTTACTAAACTTTTATCAAGAAACAATTGGCTTTGCAAACCAAACCACGAGGACTAGAAGTTATTCTAACTTCCATTCTTATCCATTCCAAATCGTACGGAGGTTCAAGTCAGACAAGAAATATCTCATGTCAGTATTGGTTGCAGGGATTCATTTATTTTTATTTTTAAAAGCAGACATATTTAAATATGTATATATTTTAATTTAACTCAATCAACGCCGTAGATGGGTATCCTTGAAATATGAAGGAATTGATATATGTAAATACGTTTAAATTATTAGATTTTATAGAGTAAATAAATCTTACCCTATTTCATTAACAAACAAGATAACCGCTATAAAAAAAATAAAAAAGTAAAATAACTAACAAGATAACCAACTATATGACAAAACAACTAATTACAAAGTATAATATAAACATTAGACTTTTTTTTAGTTCAACAATTTTAGAGGTGAAAGATCGAATTGTCGACTTTTGAAATGTGATGATAGATATCTTATCCATTTCAGAGTATATGGATTGAAAAATATATATTAAACCACTAAATTTTAATAATTGTATCAACTCAGGAGTTTATGAAAATTTTCAAAGCCTATTCCAACGTAATTCAAAGATAATAAATCTTTGAAGTAAATGCAATAATTGAATGAATGAGTGATAATTTAGCACAATTGCAATTACTTTAATTATATATTTACAAAGTTTCAAGAATTAACATTATATTAAATTATAATTTTGTCTCTTGAATTTTAAAAGTTGCATCGGGATTCTATTGATTCATGAGCTTTCAGATTTAATTACCATACTTTAAAAACTTTTTAATAAATTACTAATCTTTAATTTTGTGTCTAATGCGAGCAGCTCAACAGTAATTGGCATATACCTCCAACCAAGAAGTTGTTAGTTCGAATTCCCTTCCCAACATGTTAGACTAAAAAAAAAAAAAATTGTGTCTAACAAATTTATGTCGTTAATTCATATATAACAATATTATTATTTAAGTAGCATAGCTGATTTTAGGTATAATCTTTCAAGTAATATAGTCAACATTTCCCATCCAACATGTATATCTATTAAACACAAATTTTAAAAAATTAGAAAATTATTATAAACATTTTAATATTTATATACTTTTAAAAAGTTACAAAAAATAAAAACTAAATAAATACAACTTTAAAACTTTAAAAGTTAAAAGGAACCAGAGCAGTATTGAAGAGCACGTTCTGAATTTACATAATATATATGCATTTTGTCCACTTGTCTTTTGCTTCTCTTTCACTTTTAGTTTACATTAATTGCCTTTTGTTTCCTATAATTCATTCTCTCTTTTTTCCCCTTTGCCCTTATCCACTCTTTAGTCTTGGCGCAAATTTTGAGAAAATTAGAAAGAAAATATTAAAATCTTTATTTAAATATTATTTGGACTCTTAGATATTTAATCAATCTTCATCTCAATTCCTATACTTTAAACCTCTTGTTTATTCATTTAAAAAATAACATAAACTAAAAGTTAAAAAACTTAACATAAATCATTTGTTTTTTCATCTTGGAAAAGGGTTGCTCAAACCAAATTCAAAAAAAGAAAAAAGAGAGAGAAGCAATGTGTAGAATATTTGTTTTAGTCATTTTGATCTCTCTATTCTATTTTATATCAAAATTTTAATGTAATGCTACATTTAATATATTTTTTAAAATGTAATCATAGAATTTTCAGTATTTTTTTATATTAAAATTGTGTTCAAATTTTGTAAATAAGACTAAGGGTACATCAAAATTAAAAATACTAATACTAAAATAGATATATTAAAAATAAATGGAGCAAAATGTTACACCAACCACCAAAATAGAATTTGAAGCTAAAATGTTTAATAACAGTATCTAGTTTGGAAATGTTAGAAGAACAAATTTATTAATTCCCTTCCGTTTCTGTACACATGGGGAATGGACTCGCTCCACATATTAACATTAACCCATTTACAGAAAATTTTCACAAACCAAATAAAACAAAAATTAAAATTACAATTAATTCACAGAGTGTGAAATTGTTTCTTCTTCTTCTTCTTCTTCTTCGTTGTGACAATTAGCTCCAAGACGCGGCTGATATGAGCGGCCGCAATTGCTCCACCGAATTTTCTCTCATCAATTTTGCGTACATTAGGGTTCGCAGATTTCTCCCTGATTCCACTCTCTCCATTGCCGGCTCTTCCTCGTAACTTCTCTCCCATCGGAGACATGAAACCCGGGGACAACCCAAGCCCGCCGCCGGAGGACTCAATTTCAGATCGTCCACCTGAAGATTCTGCATCAGTGCCGCTAATCTCCTCAACGACTCGCCGCCGGTCGTCGGAGACATCGGCGGCGACTCCGTCGGTGAAATCAGGATGGAAGTCGGCGATGATATAGCGGCGATTCCCTTTCCCCTGGCCAGAGGAGAGCGGATGCTCTGTTTCGACGGAATGCGGAGTTGCTCCGACGAGTGGGCGAAGAAGCAGACGCGCCGGCGGCAGGCCATGCCGTCGCGGCACGCCTGAGTCCGGTACCGGTCCGGGTGGAGCCAACTCTCGAACACGCCGTGGGCGAACTCGCACGTGTCCCCCTTTTTGCAGAACCCCTGCCGTAAGTCCGGGCACTCGGCGCCGGAGTAGCGGAACTTCCTCGGATCTCGGCGGCGCGCCTTCTCGCCGGGATGCGCGTACGGACATTTGGTCCAATCGTGCGACCTCCCACGCGCGCACGTGCGGACTTTGAAGTCGAACATCCGAAAATGGTCACACGAGAACGCGTCCGCCACCGCCACCGGCGAATCTTCGTCGGAAAAGAACTCGAACTCCGCCGGCGAGTCGGGAGACGGGGCGTGGCCGGCGGCATTGGAGTTGGAGGCGTAGGGATTGCTGGCGAAATAGGCGGCGGGATCTTCAAGGGAGTCCCAGGGGAGAATCTGGGCCGTGGGATTGAGAAGCATTGATTCGGCGATCATGATTAGTGATTAATGGAGAAGAATCAAGAATTGTGTGAGAGTGGAGGAGGAAATGTGGTGGGTTTATGGAGGAGGAAAATGGAAAACTGGCAGTTTTCAGGCGGAGAAGAGGGCGGTGGTGGGTTTTCAACCGCGGTCGGTTACTCAACTAACTGGCCTCTGTTTTCTCCTGTTAAATATCTAGCCATTCCATGGGGTTTGCTACTCTGTTTCGCATCTCCATGCTATTATCCTGCAACCTGCCTGCTTTTTATTATATTTTACTTTTCACTCCCTTGGCTTCAAGTTTAAGATAGTATTATTTACACTGTTTTATTTTTGTTTTGTTAAATTATAAGTTTGTGGTCCGTAAAATTTCACAGTTAGGGTATATTTTTGTTATTTTCTTAAAATCTAGGACCAAACTTATAATTTACCATTTTTTTTATCAGTAACACAAAATCAATTGAAAATTCACTTTTAAGATATTTGTTTAAAACAAAGCATTCTAATTTTAGAAGAGTGGCAGTTGATCAAACCTGTGTAATATTTTTGAGGATGTGATTGAACTAATTATGTTCACGATGCACCAAAGTTCAACTCAATTAAACATAAATTAGTAAACTTTGTTGATCTCGTTTTATCTGTTAATGACAACTACACCACAGTAAGCAACAATTTTTATTTACTTTTTCTTATATGACGTATTAATATTACATTTAATATCTATATAAATTCCACTACTTAAAATTTTGATTTTGACTGATGTTTAAAAAAATTTCTTAAATGCCTATAATACACCCACAATAATTATTGGTAGTTTTTTTTTTCTTTCTAAAAAATTACATTATAAATTATTGAGATACCGTAATACTTGTCAATTTTCTAACTATCAAACTTTAAAGATGGTAATAAATATTTTTTTCGATTTGTTTTAATTGACCTCCAAAAGTTATGGGCAAGTTGCAATATTTTATAAAAGGGGATTTTTTGAGATAAAAGCCAATCTAGGACGTGGACAAATATCATGAAGGTCACATGCTGCCGGGACACTTGGGAGAGTTCAGATGGAGAATAATTTTCTTTTTAAATTATTTTATACTTTCCATAAAAAGTAAAAAATATATATATAGAAATAGATGGCTTGTCTTACCCACGTGGCAGAAGATGATGAGCTGAACCCAGATATTTGTCCACGTGGTGTCTGTAACTTGGCGGTGATGGGTAGGTCCCTCATGATTCTTGGTGCCTCCAAATCAAGAACTGTCCACGTGGCACACTTGATTTTCCTCCAGCTTTGCTTTTTTTCAAATCCTCGAGATTCTCATGATCATAACATTGACCGTTGACCAAACATTTTTTTTATTTTTTAAAAAGAAATTCTGGAGCTCGATCTTTATCCGGAACAACATACTTGCGTGTAAATGCTTGGGGGATTATCCACAAGCGAGATTCCACGTGGCGGATTATGATTGGGAGAGCAGACCAAGTACAATTATATAAAATAATATATTATATGATGAGGCAATGTCACACCATGCCTTTTATTTATTTTTATTTTTCTATTTTGCTTAGTTGATAAGTTCAAAGTTACTTTCGGCCTGCAAAATTATGTCTTATTCTGTGCGTTTAAATGCGAGCGAATGCTTTATAAAGAAGAATTATTTTACCAGTCCAATTAATTTTTACCTAATTTTTTGGATTGATATTCAATAAAATCTTTTGTGGACGTTCATTTTTTAACTAACTTGAAAATTAAAGGAAAGAGAATTGCACCAACTTGCTTTTCAAAGATAAAATATAAAAAATATCGCACCAACTTGATGAATTTTTTATTTTTTATTTTACACCATAGCTTTATCCTGAAAATAGTTTAATTTGGCTTTTATGGTAATTTTATGACATGTTTTTGTGTTGATTTAATAACTTTGTATTTATTTTTTGAACGATAAGATATCAAAATAAATTACAGAATAGTTGGTATATCATCAAAGTTACATCTATTCTTATCTTAACTTGAGTTGAGACACATGCTAACAACTCTTTCGATCAAATTCTTTGTTTTTCCATTTCCTTCCCCATTTATTCCACAATTTCCTTCTTGCAAAACAATAACAAATGGGAAGAAAATTGAGGAAATAATTTTCAAATTATGAGCCATTTTTCTATATTGTTGATAATATTGTGAACTAAGGTCGAGTGAATTATAGAAGAATCAATTTCACCCCAACCCAGTAAAGACCAACTTTTCACTGACTACAATGAAGAACAAAAATTCTGTTAGGGTGGTATGTTTGTCAATTAACCGGTTTAATTTGATAAATTAATTGCATAATCCATAAGATTTTACAGTTATAATTCTGTGTTTTTTTCCTATAGAATTAAAATTTGAACTAATTTTATGAGCAATAACAATTACATACTTTTATTTTAACTTATTCTGTTTTTGATGCGACAATAATAATTAAAGATGAAAAAAGATGTAAGGAACAGGATACTTTTTTAGTACCAAAAGAAAAAAGAAAAGAAAAGAAAAATGAACAGCATTGAGCATACTAGTAGTTGGATTTTTGCTATGGACATTAAATATTTCCATTCTTACCCTTTACATTGACCATATCATTATAGAAAGAGACCCTTTTATATGTTTTAACCTTGAAGAAAAATATGACTAAAAGAACTTTAAGAAAAATAAAATAAAATAGATAATCTTACCACCAAATCCCCGAGTTAGGTGAACAAAAAAAATTAATATTTACGAAAATTTGACATAAGTTCTAGGTTTTTTCTTGTTTGTTTTTTTTCTTGAGTAAACATAAGTTTTAAGTTTGATTTAATGATAATAAAAAATATATATATAGCTTATTACTTGGAGAACAATAAATATGGGTCTAACGTTTATGAACAAAGGTAAACTGTTTTGTTTTGTTTTTTTTTTTTTTTGAAAAATAATTAACGTTTCATCCACTCAACTATTTTAAATTTATAAATAATTTTGAGGAGTTGAAAATTAAGTAAAAAAAATATATATAATCTTTCCTAAAAATATATATTTATAATAGTTATGTTAATATTTTATAAATAATAATTGATTTCTATCTTCAAATAATAATAATAATAATAATAATAATAATAATAATAATAATAATAATATTATTATTATTATTATTATTATTAATAAATTCAAATCTGAATTTAGTACATATTTATTTTGATTATCCTTTTCCGTATTTATATAAAATTTTATTTTAAAAAGATGAAACACGTGCAAACATAATGAAAATATGGCGAAATATAAATTATTGATTTGGAAGTTTTTTTTCCCTCTTCTAATCCATAAGACGAAGAAGATTGGGCTACCTTCTTGGGCTGAATTATACGATTGTCATCCTAAATATTTGGAAATGAATCAAAAGAAAGTTCGTTGGCCCAATGGGCCAAGCAAAAATCTACGGCCAGAATTCTATAAGCCCATTATTAATATAACTGAATCCTTTTTTTTTTTTTGAGAAATAATATAACTGAATATAAATATAATAAACGTTTAGATCTTATTTTCTGATTAAAATTTTAAATGTCATATTTTTTTATTATTTGGGTGAGAGATCGAACTCACAACATCTTGATTGAAAATACATATCAATTATCATTAAACTACGATGACTCGGTCAAAAAACAAGTTTTTTCAAATACTTCTTTAGTTTTTAAATTTTGACTTGAAAATATTCTAGAAACAGTATATAACAAAACCATGAAATACAAATGGGAAGTAGTGCGGCTTAATTTTGAAAAAACAAAGAAAAAAGAAAAAAGGAATGGTTAATCATGTAACGGAACTTAAATAAAGTATGTATTTTTTTTTGGTTTCTATTAAATATTTTACAAATAATGTCATGAAAAATGTTAAAATATTTATTTTATGCAGCATTTTTTTATTAAAACAAAATAATTGATGATTCACAGGTATTGATCATTTATAACATCATAAAGACTTGTTATATATATATATATATGTATATATGTATGTATATGTATATATATTACAATTCAGAAAAGATTCAACGTCCTTACTTTGTGGGATGAACATTTGAATTATACTTGAATTGACAATTTTAAGTAATACTAAATATAGTGAATTGAGTGTCATTTAGATATATTTGTTTGGGTTGCGTTTCATATTCGAAATAGATTCTACAAATGTCAAATTACCATAAAATGAGATTCTAAAGTGATTCATCCTCAATTATTTTAGAATCCGGAGAATTCATTTAAAATGGTTTCTTAAAAATAATTTTAAATCAATTTGATTATTTCAAAAGCAATTTTTATTTGTAATCAAACGTTATAGATTTTAGAATTAATAATTTTGGCCATCTAAAATTATTTAAAAGGTTAATATGAACATACCCTAATGACTATCAAAATAAATATTAAAAATGATTACTAATTTTGGCCATCTAAAATTATTTAAGAGGTTAACCTAAACACACCCTAAGAAGTCGTTTGTTTTTCGGGAATATAGATGTCCAAAATCTACCGATGTCTAAAATTTCAGATGCTCGGAATTTTTGATGTCCGACATCTTCAGATAGTCATGTTTGTTTTGTAGAAAAATTTATTAAGTATGTTCGGGAATATTTGGATAGCCACTTTTTTTTTTTGCGGGATTTATTCTTGGGGATATGTTAAATTTATTGAATGTTCAAAAAATGCCCTCAAGAACACTCATATAATTTATAAATTCATTTAATATGATAGATTTATTTGAATTAATTTAATATTTTGTTTTTTTATACGTGGTTTCGTAGAACAAATTAATTCCTATTAAATCAATATATATTTCATTAATTTTAATATTTTTCCAAAAAGATAATCATATAATTGACATTATAAGTAAAATTTTATTTATCTTACATATTATATTTTTTTAAGAGGAAAAATATTACAGATATATTAATTGTCAAAAAAATTGTTTTAAAATTATATATTTATGATAATAAATATTATTAATAATATAATTCCTTCAAAATATTAAAAATAAATTGATATATTATATAATTTAATTGCAGTTTATTTTATATGTAAATGTAATGTATAAATATACTTAATTGTATAAAATTGTTTATTAGACAACTGTTCCATTAATTTATTTAAATTATAAATTTAAAAATAAAATAAAATTTTTTGGGGAAAAGTAAAGAAATTGATGAAAGAAAATATATAGAAAAAAATGAAGGAAAAAAAATGTAAAGAGCGAATGT